AATAATATACGGAGCGTGTCAGTCGATGATCTATAAATTAGTATGTAACTTTTTAAAAAATTGTAAACATTTGAACCGTTATTACAACGTTTGAAATTATTAACATATGTGATGAATAATGATAAGATAAATAAATAAGTTTAGAAAGTATAAATAGTAAGAAACGCCTGAATGAATGTGATCATGTTCTAAGTGTCTATGCACACACTTTAAGGTATAAATGAAGATATGAAAAATATTTTGTTTTTTAAAATAAAAACTAACCCCATTCTATTGACTTTAACAAAGCGTTTAATCTAACAGTAAAAGCTAACTGTAAAACCGAAATTTGCTCGCAGTTGCAATACAAACCTCTTTGAAGCAATAAATTTCTTGTGAGCAGAGTTAAAGGTCGTAGACTTATTGACATATTCCTGCAAATTGTAAATTATACACGTTATAAGTACTTCTAGAAATAATCTGATAATGAACATTGTGAGATTGCTCACGTTCTATTCGGCGAAGTATTGTGTATAATTTCGTGCTGTTAATGATAGGTCATTATTATATTGTTGCACAAGTGTAATATTGTTTACATAATAAATACGTCTGAAAACATTACATGAATTAGTATCGTCAATGCATCCTTTTTCTTTTACTGAATTTAAAATAAGAGAAAATTACGTTGATATTAGAAGGTATATCATTTCTGAACATACCGTTGTTTGTATTTCATGGCTAACTCTGCTATCTAAGTTTCTGCAAGACTCTCTGGTCGCAGCGCGCTCCGTTAACGAGAATAGGGGTAGAAATTGCATTGTTCTAATTAGTTGACGATTCAATGCTAAGACAGGATTCACTGCGGATTGGATGCACAGTAATATAGTGGGGATGTTTGCAAAAGCTAAGAGAGGTAGAAAAATCGTGCAAAACCTGAGCTACTATTGCACTGTATTACTCTATGGTTTATATGAAATGGGTCTGTGTTCTTTTGCTATAGCGGCCTTGACGCGGCAAATCTCGGGATTCGGGAATCTCAGCGTCAGACTGGGATCAACACGATTTTTGGCGCAACTTCGTATAAATATGTTGTGCTAGTGTTTTAAAGGATAAGAACGATGAGCTTCTCTAGTGATGAAGTCAATTTTTTGGTTTATCGATATCTACAAGAGTCCGGTTTGTTGTGTGAAATATTTCCTAACCTCTCCCAGCAAATTTGTATAACAATAACGTTTGAATTTTTTTTTGTTTATGAGTGTCTCTTACGTACATTATACATAGATTTCTGTTGAAATAATTATCAGAATTCACGGAGAAATTAGTAACTTATGATTTCATACAAATTATTGCTATAATTAAGACAGATCGAATATAAATTACGATTAACTTGTAATATATGAGATGTAATACAGATCGTGAAAATTAAAGTTATTGTATCTTTTTAATAGGGTTTCAACATTCTGCGTATACATTTGGAATAGAATCACATATATCACAAAGTAACATAAACGGAGCATTAGTACCACCAGCAGCACTTTTGTCCATACTTCAGAAAGGATTACAATATACAGAGGCTGAAATATCAATAGGTGAAGATGGAACTGTGCAAAGGATGGTTGAATCATTATCCCTTATCGATGCTGTTATGCCAGATGTTGTTGCATCAAGGCAGAACCAAATTAATCAACAGAAACAACAGGTGAAAACAGAGGTGCAAGATACAAATGGAGAAGAAGGTAATTATAGTTTCTGTTACCAATTATTATAGTGCCTGGTACACCCTGGTCTATAAAAGTATTTTCATTTTATAGACCTCCTTCCTAGACCAGGTAAATCAAAGGACAGCTTTAATTTTCGGATTTGTTTCTGAATTATATCTTATTATACCAGTTGTGTTAATATATCTTTATAATACATTTCCCAATTAGTTTGAAAGTATAATAATTTGAGAAAGCAACGGTATAGCAAAATAGAGTTCAATATAAAAGGTACAACATATCCGTAAATTGGGAGCAAACAATCATATTACGATCGAATTATCAAGATTTTTAATATTTATGATATTTTCCTGCTTAAGTACTTACTATCATCATCAAAATTATCATTATAATATATCGCTTATGCATACAGTGTGTGTGAGTTATAATCAAATATGAAAATATTTCAAAAAATATTGCTAATACGGGAAAATGTTTCAGACAAAAGTTGCAAGTTTAGAAAATACCCATAGTGCAAATTCTATGCGAGATCCTAAATCATCATAAAAAATTTTATGCACATTTGTCAGCTTATGTGCTTTTAATTTACTTTTCTTTAAAATGTTACAAGTAACAGTTATGAAATGCTGCTAATACATTTATTTCGTCTGCTTCTGACCAAGTTTCAGCTTGGTGCTTTTCGCTTTTCACATTTCTGATTTTTATAAAATCATCCACAATGTCTTTCACCACTGATTCAGATGGTTTTGGTCTATTTGGGTGATGTTTACCAAATTCTTCACCCACTGCCTTGTATGTTTACCTATCATTGTGTAAAAGAACTATTTCAATTTTCTCCCCTGCTATTAAATGCATTTTTATAATGATTTATTGCGAAATGGAGACAAACTTATTTGAAGACACATTTTTTCACTGAAAGTCATTGACTTTCTGACGGCTTACGCGTGTGAATATTAGAAAGAACAACATTGTGTCAACGAAAAGGTCGCTTTGTGTTTACAAATAACATTGGTCTACTGGATCCGTCAATGTAGTGCCCAATATAAATGGCACCGTGGTGTATGTCTGTTAACTCTAATGCTTTAAGAGGTCATATGCCTGGAACGAAGTAAGCAAAATACACATTTAAGTAGAGTTTTGAAAAGGTCAAGATATTTGCTNCTTACATAAATCAATAAAAAAATTATTTTTTTACTACACCTATGATCTTAGTTTCACACAATAGATGATGTAAGTCTAACACAATCACACTCTAAGCATT